TTAATAATTAGCATTAATTATGAAATGCCTTTTTTTATGATTCTAATAAAATGCGCCATTAATTTAAAAGTAATGTGTCATTAACTTAGAACACTCTAATTAGGGTCATTTGATGAATAGCCATCACATTGCAGTCTTCAGTTCAATTCAAGATATTGTAATGAGCAAGAGGGCAATTGATTTCTAATGGTAATTTTTCTACTGTCTCCATCTCGTCCCGTTTTACTTATTTTTGACTCTTTGTTTTTATTTAGTTGCCGTGGGTCCTTCACTGTAACCATTTGATTTGTTGCATTAAGTCACATTGTGTAAATTGGCAGCACTTCGTTGCATTTAGACTGCTGACCCAAGAAAATTGGTAAAAAGTTACTGACCAGGAGAACATTTGTAGTGTGAAGTAAATAAATGTAGATTCAGTAGACAGTGATATATTTGATAATAGTTATCAATTCTAGTATGCATTATATATAAAAACAACTACATATCTAACCCATACATGTACTTGATTGTTACAATAGGACTATAACTGCAATAGATGTACTCAATTCTAGTATACATCTTATAAAAACAACTACATATCTAACCCATACATGTACTTGATTGTTACAATAGGACTATAACTGCAATAGATGTAATCAATTCTAGTATACATCTTATAAAAACAACTACATATCTAACCCATACATGTACTTGATTGTTACAATAGGACTATAACTGCAATAGATGTACTCAGATGACATGTTTTAATAGTTCCATGAGTAGCGAGCAAACTGAGACTATGTCTAACATTGTTAATAACTTAAAAAATATGACTTTCCAGGATAAAACTRATAACTATATAGCACAATTAACAAGATAGCCAACACAATTGAAGTTGGTTAAGTTTACTTGTTWTAGTAATCTTGGTACATACCAATACTACAAGACACCTAGCCTGGCCTGTGTAAATTTGTACATTGAATCATGATTGATGAAACGGGATTCCTATGTTGCTGGTAGCTCTAGGGGAGGAGAGTATAATACATCAGAAAGGAACAGTCATCCTGGTTACCTATTGGCTTGCATTTATTATTCATTTTAACTAATATTTATATTATCAATAAAATATATTTTGCTGAGAGCAAAATACAACTGGTTCTTTTTGAGCTTTCACCAGTGTCCTAGCCAGCACTGAAAGACTTATAACTCTCTTCATGCCACTTGGTCAAGATCCCAGTAAATAATCAGGGCTGCTATTATTTTTTGTATTTCCAAGAGTCATCTGAAATGCCTATATATTCTTGCTTTACATGAATATGTAATGACCAATGTATTACCACTTGAAAACTGCAACCACAGTCATAATAATGATTTTTCTCCAGCCTTAACTGCAACTCTCTTATTATACACTTTCATGTGCTACTTAGAATACCAGTAGTATAATATAATGATGATTTCTTTTTTCAGACCACTTACTAGAAGTACAATTGACAAATGACAGTTCTCTTACAGTAAATGAATTTGTCATTGGGCACTATTGAATGTATTGTAATTTGATGATGATTCAGCTTTGGTCGCAGATAACGGACCTAAAAATAAGAAAATAAATAAAAAAGGAAACAGCTATCATTAAATGGAAATAGTGATGACGCAGTACAAATCACTTAGTAAACAATTAATGCTCACTAAAAATGTCCTACCTGATTCTGAATAATTACAACTTATCAGCCCCATTTCATGCAAGTTCAGAATGGAATCTGCAATTATTCTGGCTGTCTTTTTCTATAATTCAAATTATAAATATCATAAAAGAAAATTTTGCAATAAACGTGAGCATCTAAAAGTTGAAAACTGTTGAATTTAGAATGATAAAATGTGTCTATAGTGACCTGGTATCCTCCCGATGTAACCATGACTACTGGTATTGACTTATTTCTTGCTTCCTGGAATACAATTTGATCTCTTTCTATTATACCCTGCAAACACAAAAACAGCAATACAATGATCTTCAGCTAACTTTATTAAAAAATTATCATTATTATTTATAGCAAACATTATGATTGTAACAATATGCATGCCATTATGCTAAGGACACGTTTCCTCAATCCTGTCTAGCTATGATTATCAATAGAGAAAACATAGGAAAAAATCATTTAACTCAGTCTACTGTACCTTTGATGTAATGGACAAATTACCAAGTGGATCACCCTCCAGTACATCAGTACCGGCATTGTATATGATGATATCAGGAGAAAATTCATCAAGAGCCTCTGGTATATGCCTGATTATAACAATTCATTTAGTTAAAAATAAGCTAAAATCACAAAGAATCCTCATGAGAGATGTTTGTTTTTGCATGCATGTAGATGACAATTTAAAAATCAGATACACATACCGGTAGTGCACAAAATAATTTTTTTTTACATAATTACTTTTTAATAAGAGACAAATACTCCTCATCTTTTGTGTAATGATTGAGTTCAATATTCCTTCGTATGGCTCCTAGAATTAGAGATAAAAAATGTCAGTAAAGGGCAAATCTGAGAACATTTGCAATCAGTTGTATTGTTTTAAAAAAAGATCTGTTGTTCAAAGTTCAGCTTTATGATGTTGTTTTTGTATTTTGAGGAAAATGTGTGAAGATTCATGTGGTAAATAATACAGCACATGATTTGGAAACTGATTCACATGAAAACAATTTTTTTTTTTTTCAAATCCAATGCAGGCTAACATAGTTCAGCTATAAAAAAGCTACTGATTGAGCAAATGGTGGACTTACTTCTGGCTCTCATTGCACCAGGATAAATATAAGCATTGTAGACATCCATGATATATACACATTGATCATTCATGAAGTCAAGTTCATGTCCATTACCCTGAGAAGTAGTAAATAAAAACATCTTCATTTTTCAAATACATTTATCTCGTTATATTTCAAACAAAACAACTAACAATTGTGTCCACATATATCATTGATCATAATTAACATTAGCCACACATTGTGGCCTTGCTTTCATGGAATTCAATCACATCTTTGCAAAGCACCTTTGCAGATCGTCTGTGCTTTTGATAAAACATTTTTAAACACATGAAACCTCCCCATTGTCTTTAGATCTCATAAAGACCCCAGAACAGTACAAATGATGATAATAAATGATGCTAACCTGATGAGCATCCAGATCAATGATCATGGCCTTTTTGATACTTTCCACATTCTGGAATAGAAACTATATAGTACAAAATAAATAATTTTAATCACAACAAATACAATAAATTAACACTGTAATGCTCCATATAAATGTACTACTGATTGAGAGGAATAATCATTCAACCTTTGATAGACTGGTTTAAGTATAATAGTTATGTGTGGTAAACAGAAAATTAAGTATCATTCTTAGTATTGGTTGTCTTGTTAAATAATATTATATAACATATCATATACAATTAATATCAATTTCTCATTCAATATAAGATACCTTGATAGCAAGTGTAATGTCAGCATAAGCACAAAAACCTCCCCCACTACTAGATGAACAGTGATGAAATCCACCACCTAAAATACAATCAAATATGTCATCCAACAACAAAGACAACCAACAACCATGAAACAAAATAACATATTTCTTACGAATGCATACCAATATTTATAGCCCAGCCTCTTTCTACTGCTAACCTAGCTGCCTATAAAATAACAACATTGTTATTTCCATCTGGAATATAATATTAGACAGGGAGATCAAATGCAATGAAACTAAATTGGTACCAAATATGACTTTGGGTATTAGGTACTCTTTGCTGCATCAACTAAAGCCTGGTACAATGATATCAAAATTGTCTGTAACCACTGCATATGGATATATTTTATTTCTCCTGATATCTTACAGACTCACCAGTATAGTTCCTCCTGTTTGAAGTCTCAAAGGTTTAAGTAGTTTATGTTGGACAACAATATTAGGAAGAAAAGCTACTGGGGGAACTTCACAAATCTGAGCAACAACCACACTCCACTGAAACCAAAAAATATTATAAGGTAGAAATTCTTGTTACAAATGGAATTACTTAATATTCCAGTTAAATGAAATCAATATATTTTATCTAACTTGTTCCTATAGATATTTCCCTTCCATTTCCTACCCATCCTAATATTTTTTATTCTTACAAACCTTTAAACTGTCCAGATATTTTTTAGTGTGAACTACCATCAAGTCCTCTGTGGTTGGCTCTCTTGGTTCAACAGTTTGCTGATTTTCCTCCACATTTATTAGTTTACCTTCTGTGAACATTTAATGAGGAATTGATATGGTGTTTTGATTATCCAACATTTTTTTCTTTTTCATCATAGTCATTTAAAAATAATTACTGGAATATATTGAAAATTATAAGGGGTTGAAGTTATTAGAATCCATGTCATTCCATTCATTCTTATTAGCATTTCTTTTTCCTTTCTGTATAAACACCATAGTTACCAACCTTTTAAAAATTCAAAAACACGTCCCCATTTCCCAGAGTCAAATGGATGAAGCTTTTCAAGTCCAAGAAATCCAATATTATAGCTAGGAGAGTAGACTATAGGCCACTGGGATGCATTAATTTCTACATACAAATGTGTGCCAACCACTTTTTCACTACCACTTGCGCTATAAGATAAGTAAGTAGTTCGAATTTTCATAAAAAATGTATAAACTCTGTTAGGGTAATAATAGTTAAAATCAAATAATGCCGACTAGGAGCAGAATAAATTCATTTTTGACTTAATTCACTTAGCAAAAAAAAAAAGATAAGATAGAGTTAAGATTTACAATTTTCTGTATAAAGTGAGCTTTAATAAGAATTAAGCTTAAAGCTAAAATTAAGCTCATGTTTTTTAAGGTCACGGAAAATTCATCCTTCAATAGAATTCTCAAAAATTCTAAGAGAAAGAAAGGAGTACTTTTCTTCGTTAATGGTAAGATATTTCTACATGAGCATCACTGCTAACGAAATCATACAGCTGTGACATTTGTATGACAAAACAAACTTGGACGTCAACCAAGAGAATTCGTATTCTACGACTTACCTTCTATCTGCTTTCTTCAGTTTCTTACGAACTGACATGATATGTGCTTTTTTAAAAGTTATTAGTATCTATGTTTGCTCCTCATCATGTTAAAAAGCCTGATAAAGACTGATTGAATTTTGTCAACAAGAAACTACATCCCGCCATGTTAGATTTGCTACACTAGTGCCCAGGCTGCTCATAATTGAGGTACTCAGACAGACAGACAGATGTTCATTTGTTACTGGCCTTATATTCTCCCCTCCCCTCCCCCTATCAAATAATATATCCACTGAAGGGCAGTGCCGAAGAGTGTCTGGCCAAAACTGTATGTTAATTCTGGAGGAGCTGAGCTCTGATTGGCTCGGTACTCCCTAAGGATTATGGTGACGTCATATATTAGCATAGAACTTCACCGAATAGTCTATCCCGATTAGGTATTAGATATCTATCAGTGACTTCATAGTACGATGGTCTAAGAGGGTAGCTAAAGGTATGCTCTAGTGGGCGGCTACCTCCTCAATCCCTGGCCTTTTGGTTAAGACTAAGTTTTATGTKCACTCGGGATAGCGTGGAAGAGCCGAAATCTCTAACCGTAACGTAAGCCGATTCGACGCCTCAGCTTCACAGAATGTCTCGGGGGAATCGTCCCATCTTTTTCTTTTTTTTGATTTTCATTATTTCTATATATATCCGGGGGGTGCATCCCCAACTTACGTCAAGTGACTGAGTTCGAGCCCTACCGGGGGAATACTATTTTTTCCTTTTTTATTTGTTATTGGTTTTTCGATCTTTTTTCCTTTCTTTTTTTCTTTCTTTTTTTCCGTACATCTATTTATACTTTACTTGTTTTCCACCTGAGATTTATATTTTTTCAAGTTGAATGCATCAAGGAGACGCTACTTGTACGGCTACAGCCGCTGTCCAATCGTTCATATTACAGATCTAGGTGACCAAAGTCTTTTTAAAAAAAGCTAAAATAGGTATCGTTACTTAAATGTTACGTACTTATGAGAAAATACGCACTGAAATCACTGGCTGCTACACTGCATAAAATGTCAGGCTTAGAACGAGGGAAGTCAACCCCGCAGGTGCGGTACCGGTGGAATGGCGTTTTGCGCAAAACACTAACCTACTAGCTTTGATAATTGTAGCAAACTGGTGATGTGATTGACTTAAACTCGGTGAGCTGAGAAAGATAAGGGCAGCAACTACGATGTGCAAAGCGGGTAAAGCATTGCGTTAGCCATGACTAAAACCAACCCGAGACACACCTACTAACGGCATTAGGAGTCGAATAAGAGAGGGACTGATTAGTGAAATAGGGAGCGKCTGAGCGAGAATAAAGAAAAAAAGAAAAAGAAAGAAAAATGAATGAAGAAGTAGGTGTGACTGAAGAGTGGATTGGAAGGGCAAACGATTTTTATCGAGTAATGGTATTCAATTTTCCTTCGTGCACCGTAATCAGTTCCGCCTTTCGATTGTTGCGGTACACAGCAGAGATAACAGTTCCTTTTCGAGAGAAGACACATTTTGTAATTTAGTAGCGGGATATAAGG